CGGAAAAAGACGCCTGCTTTACCGTGTGGAATCGTCCTGTATGTTTCATATACAAAACCCATTACATTTCCCATGATCCATGTTCATCGCAACATATCTAATTGGCTGTGAATCGTGCCAGGGGCATTCAATCTCTAAGTGCTAGTTCAGCTGTTCTCATGGACCCTGGCCCCATGGGGGTCATGGAGGTGCAGCATGGTGCTTACACGCGGTCTCACTGGGGGAAGTAGACGAGCGGGATGTGACCAGGTCTTTGGAAGGACTTGGGAAGTTTGACTTCCGTACTGTGTTGTCAGTTTGACTTCAGTTTGACTTCCAAAGAAGTTGCCAAATCTGAGGTTTTCCTATCCACTGTGCAGAGAGCAATCAGCTTGCAGCCTTTGCTGCTACCCTTGTTTTTTTCCTTTTGGACCAAGTACTTCTTTTCTCCGGCATCTTCTTCCTCGGACCTTCGAACCTTTGCCACCAGCTTCTGCCTGATCAGCATCGCTGGATATTTTCTGGCCACCAAACTGCAAGAGAATTGGGGGCTTCGATCATATAGAGATCCGACCTCCGGGCCCTGGCAGGTCCAGAGACCTTAGGTCCAGGCCTGGGAGCGTTTTGGTATATGCGTATTCGGTCAATACAGTACCAGTTGCTTGTTCATTCCCCACGTTTTCGGCTTCACCATTAAACGTGTTCGGCTTTCCATTCCGTTTTGCAGGTTGATTTGGAGAATGACAGGGGCCATGGGAATGACCCAATTTTTATCCAGCTAGGATGGTAAGTATCTTGGAACTTTTTTGTTTTTCATCAAAGCTTGGCTGCGGAAACTAAACTTGTGACATGGACATGTTTCAACGCCAGGTCATTGCTACAGCCCTGTAGGTTGCAAAAGTCAGTTGAACCAACACTTCAGATGCTGGGTTCGATTGATGCTTCCCATCTCGTAATCTTCATTCCTTGGATGTTTCTTTTGCGCGTCTCGCGAAGTGGAATATCCATTGGAATCCATGCGGTTCCCTTAAATCACGAACTTGAGATGCTAACTTTGGTTTCAGATTGACCATGCACAAAAGATCCAATCTCACATCAGTCTCTCGCAAATATGGTTGTCTCTTTTCTTCAGTCCTGCATCACATGTTGCTTCCATGGCTTTCTTCCGCAGAATCCAGATGTTTCTCTCCGGACTCCTGACCTGGTGTTTTGGGACTCTCCATAAAAGGTCGATAGATCTGGGTACAGGTTTTACGTGATCAGACGTTCTTTGGTTTGACACGTTTTGACCTGCCAAACATGTCTAATTAGCGCATGTTCTGACTTGAACTGAATCTGAGGTCTATCAGTATGTGCAAACAAAGAGTCATTCGTGGCACCTCCCAAAAAAGAAGAGTCCTTTAGTCTTCCATGAAGTCTGCAGGCACCGACCACTGACCACTCCATCGGGTTACCGGGTCTGCTCGAACTCTGAGGGCCTCCTGCTCTGCGTGGTCATCTACTGGTGCTGCGTTGGGACCCTGAAGGCCATCTGCCGCGACTGGCCGGAGCTGACGCTCACGAAAGGCACTGGGGGCTTTCACCTTTGGAAGACCGTGATGGAGTCTCGGAGCACCGGTTTGTTCCACTTCTTTATGTTGTCTACTTATGTTTGATTGCTTCTTTTAGTTATATATATATATGTTTTATGTGTTTGTTTGTTGCATTTTAAGATCTGTTCACGTCCATTTATCCCTTAGTGTGTTTCTCCTTGTCTTCCTAACATGGAGGCTGCATGCTTCACTGCTTTCCACTCGCTCGAGAAACCACCCAACGCCAGACTCCCACCCGCCACGACGTTGAACGACTCCGTTGCCACCTCGTCCGAACACGGAGTTCCCGGAGGGTCGACCCCGGACAATGGTGGTGAGGCAGCGCTGTGTGGCGCGGTGCTGTGATGTGTTTAGTGATGTCTAGTGCTTTTTCTTGCTTTCACCCCGTGTTTGGACTTGCAATTTGATTCGCCACTTAATTGCCTCTTGCCGCTGTTGCCCTAGGGATCCACATACCTTCTCAGAAGGTACTTGGAGCCTCCAAGCCTGCATGAAGAGTATCCAATCACTTTCTCAGCAGATATGTCGTGGATCCAGAGGGTTGTAGAAGCGGGGACAGGGAGGTGTTGGAAATGGAAATTAAACAACATCCGTAAAACGAGAACGAAGATTCCCCAGAAAGCACTTAATTAGACTCTTCTTGAAGGCAAGTTCAGGCCGAGGCATAAACTACCCTGCATTACCCTGCAAAACATGATGTGTTTGGTCCTCTTGCCATATGTGCAATACAACATGCTAAGCTTAAGTTAGTCTAAATTATGGGAACAATAAACACCGCACACACGACGGGTCATGGGCGTTTTGCCAAGGAGCTCTTATTATTTTCCCGGCTCTGGACTTCCTTGTTGCTCTCCACGCCATACTTTCCCGTCTTTTTGCGGCTACTGGGCGCACGGATTGGCAAAGGAGTGAACTTCGATGAGGAGCGAAAAGGCATGATGTTCAGGTCAATTGGGGGACTCTAGGTCAAAGAGGAACACAATTTCAGCATTTTGGAACTTATGATAACTTATGTGTTTTATCATAACTGGGCAGCCTTGCTGCTTCTGCTTGGCGCTTCTAGCAAGAATCTGTGCAAGATAGAGATGATCGCATTCATCAGGCCCAGTGGCCAGGTAGTGATCAACTCCCATCGCGATGAGACGGTCGGATCTCTTCACTCCCATCGCAGGAGTTGGGTTTGCACGAGCCGTGGCTCCTGGTGATGGGCGATCATTGCCAGCTGGGCATGGCACGGCTTTCACCACACTCCCTGGAGCGGCTCGTGGGTGGCCGCGCTGGGTCGGGGGGGTTGACGAGAGGGGAGAGGGTGTCTACTGAAGGTGACCATGGTGTTACTGTTGCCGTGGTGAAAGTGTCCAATGGATGCGATACTTTCTTCAGCGTTGTTTTCTCTAGATGGATGTCTATAACATTCCATAACTAATCACAACTGCAAGGTTCTGAAAATATATTCGTTGAATCCACATGACGTCGAGAAGGAACTTCCGAGATTTTGGAGTCTTGGAGTACGTTCTACCTTGTCGCGCGGGGGTCTTGGAGGATAGGTCCAGAAATTGTTTACAGTAACCCCTGGCCTAGTATAATCAGTTGCAGACAGAAGCGCACTCTATACCTACTATTTCTTGCGAACTTGGGCAAACCTAACATGTTCTGAAGAGACAACAGAATGATAAATACATAACAACATATAGCTGTCTCAGGCTCCCTCCCCAGGTCCTACAAGTCTGAAGCCCTTTGCATCGCCGAATTCCACACGTCAAAACCAAAACTACCTCCACCCTGCTCTACTGCTATACCGTAGACATGCATCTCCAACTCCACATCTACCTACCTTTCTCGGTGGTGTCTTCCTGGCAAACCACTGGCACCCTCCGTCCCCATCGCTGTTCGACTGACCGAGGACGCCGAGGACGGACCGAGGACCGATCCCTCAGGAGATCGATGGATCGATCACCTTGCAACGGCTCCTGATTGGCTCCAACGTCTCGCTCCTTGAGGATGCCACGGTCTTCGGCGGAACCCAGGCGGTCTGACCGAGGTGTTGCTGTGCGGAACACCCAGGTGTTGAAGGGTGGCGGTGTGTGCCGTTGTTGAAGGGTGGTTGGTTTGGAAGGTGAAGGATGTTTTCAGGGCAGGGACAAACAGGGAGAGAGCGAAGACTGGTTTGGAGTTAGAGGGCATAGTGTGATATACTGACAAGTAAATCATATAAATATAGCAAACCAAGCACGCAGGAATAGACATAAACCGAAGAGCACAAAGCTTGAGTTTGGCACTTCTTGTTCCTTTATTCTTTATTGAGATGAAACAAAGTCTCTTTTTTGCCTTTGGGTATGCACAAGATCCTCTCAGACGAGTGGACGTGGTCGTTTGGCTTTGACTGTTCGGGGGATGCCTGGCAGTACTTGATCAGACTGAGATGGATTTGGACCTTGTGCTCATGTTTAGTCATGGGGTGTGAGATGTAATTTCTAACTGCATACATGATATTGTATCGGAGAGATGCACGTTCGAACACCGAATCAAAGACGCCGGCCGCGGATTTTGTAATTGGCCTGACAAAGTTGCACAAAACCTCCAAGCAGGAGACTCAAGAAATGCCAACGTTTATGTATATATATAAATTGGACTGTTATCCATTGTCTTAGACATTTTAGGTGGGATCTTTTTCGGGGAAGAACTGGTGTCACCAATCCGAACTCCAAGAGATGGACCTACTGGATCAAACGGTTTCGAACTCGGCCGCCCCATCAGCGTCCGGTGTTTCGATCTTTTCAGCCATACCTGGGCGCCCTACCCACGTGGATTCACTGAACATGTGTCCGGCAGCGAACCGGGGGACCGGACGAAGCACACGAGATGGACGGGACGTCGCGGAGCCTTTTTTCCGCGAGAACGTCCATCGGTGCGGTCTTCTATGCCAGAGAGCCACACCAGTCGCACTCCCCGTGGCACTCCCCGTGGCACTCCCTGTGCCCTTCCCAGACTCTCACTCCCCATGCAGGTACCAGATCGTTGTGTCCTGGGCTCCTTCTGTCGACCGCTGAAGGGGCAACACTTGCTCGCGCGTGAGTATCACTCGACGCCCGCTGAGCCGGTAGGATGAGGTACTTTTGTTTCTGCGGGTACAAGGCGACCAGCTCTTGGACACATATACCATTAGCAAACAACAACAACAACAGCAGCAACAACAACAGCAGCAGCAACAACATCATCATCATCATCAAACCACATGCATCATGCACTGTCATCCCTCCAAGAAGAGAGCCTTACAACAACCCGCGCAAGACGGGTATTCCCGTTGCTTCTCTTTCCAAGGAAGCCGCCGAAAAGCGGCGCTCTCGGCGCAGCGGAAAAATAACGATGATCGGTGCTTGTCCCTTTCGCGCCAAGGCAGGTGACGCATCACTGAGCCAATGGAGAGGTGAGTTTAAGAAAAGCGACTCTAAGGGATCGACAAAGCATCTTTGAATCAAGGTGCACCAGAAAAGCTCCATACTCTCTCTTGTCAACACTTTCAGATCCTGCAATATCCTGCAACACGTTCTCGTTTGCTCATCACATGGTTCCTTTGGCATGAATCCAGATCTGGTCATTAGGGATGGGGGGTCATCTCCTAAGGGGGGTGAGGGTACCGGGCTAACTTGGGCTTGGCGGTCACCGGGCTAACTTGGGCTTGGCGGTCACCGGGCTCATCCGGTTTCAGGTTGCTGAACTCGTTAACCTCTCCTCGGAACGTGGAACGTGGAACTATACTCGTTAGCACTTGTACTAGTATAGAGGGTTACACATGCACATCACATGCACAATATTTAAAACACACAACACTATACATATTTTGTATGAAGAAAGAGAGGGAGGGGGACGGCAAAAGTTATCTAGCAGGATGATCTTTTAATGCACATGTACACTGTGTTTTTGTTGACATTGTTTGACAAACGGGTCTTATTTTGCAAGCGTTCTTCTACAAAATATACCAGCTTTGCATCTGGACACTTGAAACGCCACTCTCTTGCACCTTCGGCATGCGCCTGCCAAGATGCGGATGGCCACGTGCGGGTCTCCGGGGATCACTGGGGCCTTCCAACGCCCACTTTGGCCACTGGGCAGTTTTAAAAAGGTGGGTGCCGATCGAAGGGCCAACTGGGCGGGGGGGAAGACCGCAGACTTCCCCAAAGTATCATGAAAATTCATGAATATCCAGCAAGAACGGCAGGAAGAACCTATTCCAGTTCTTCTGACCGCTACCGATCGATGGTGCTCTTGTTTTTTTCTACACTACAGCTGCAGGTGTGGCCCAGGTGCAGCATTTGCCTTCCAACGTCGGTCCGTACGGGAAACGACGTGGGCCCGACAAACGCCGTGGGCGCTTAAACGACGTTGAAGACTCGATCCTTCAGTGTTCAAGCTGTTCAAAGAGTCGGATGGGATGGGATTTGCCTGTCATGAGTGTCATGTTTGTCAAAGGGTGAGTGTTGGTATCCACGTGTTGCGGTCCAAGAAACGGCCAAGTGTTCATCTGTTTTGCCTTGCCCCCTATTCTAACACACCTTCAGAATCGAAGTTTCTTCCTTCCCATGGGGACGAGAGTCTCACTGAGGACGCCCTGCAGAATCGATCCATCCCACCCAATCAGGCGGCGATCCGCGGTGGTTCGAGGGTCCGTTGACCACCGAAGAGCAACAGACGAACCTGGAATGGTCAAGCTACGAAGCTTCCTGAGGGCTTCGGTTGAACAGACCCCTGAGGGCTTCAAGCTGAGAAGGTCGAAGACAGATGGATGATGGTCAGGACAGAAAGTATGAGAGAGTGTGGAGCCTGAATGGGGCTGCCCCATGTTGTCACTGGCTAAGTATGTGTTCAGTATTGGTGTTAGTTCTCACGGACAGAAACAAGAGACAGCTAAAGAGATTTGAAAAGAGGCAAAGATGCCAAATCTAGGAGAAACCTGGGTCCTACACAAATCATTTGATGTATATATTTGAGCGGTGGGTCACTTGGAAAGCTCTTTGGCCCGCACATGAATGGAACAGATGGGAGGTTTGACCTGTGTTGTTGCAGGGGCCATGTTCTTTGATCTCTATTCATCAGCTACAGTGTTGAGTTGTGATGGCTTGGCCAGGGTCATGGTAGAGAAGCCTGCCTAGCAGGTCAAAAGATAGCCCCGACCAGATTTCATTTATGAAGAATGCATTACATGTCACACCATAGGCCAATATCAGCCAGTAGTACTCCAGTACTCCATCCATGAACCCACGAGGAGAGCAAGACAGCTTTGAAGCGTTTTCTGTTTTTTCCGGTTTCGCTTTGCGCTTCCCATTTGATCAAGACGGCCCTCTGGTGGACAACGACAAGCGAACGGAAGTGAACGGCCAAAGCCACCGGGGGCCGACAACTAGGACCCCCAAAAAGCATATTGACCGCACAAGTATGAAAACAAGGGATCTGATGGGGAAACACAAGGAGTTCATACTGCTTCACAAATGTTGCGTTTTTGGAAACCAACATATATAAGCCATCCAGATTCTCCACGCTTTTGACCCCATTCTTGTTAAAGCACAACTTGCCGCACTTCTCAGTCGCGCCACGTGCGTCTCAGAGATGGTGCCCATTCCGAGGGAATGGCGATTCCCAAAAGGGCTCCTGGCCCATATGGCTATGGATGAAAACAGGGGACCATAGACTACTTGGGTGGTCAACCTACAAGGGTTTGGGCTTCAAGTTTTTGATTCACAATGATTCACAGCCATATCCTCATTTGGTGAGCCCCCCCCCTGAACCGCATCCAACCACATCCAACCACCAAACCGAAAACTCGGGAGGAGGTGGCCAAACGGACCACCGGGCTCGTTCTTGCTGTCCGTCGCCTCGGTGCTCGAGGTCACTGGGGTCTACGGTCGCCACTGGGCAGACTCTGTGGGACGAACCAGGACGAAACCAGGGCATTGGATACCCATTTTTGGCACCACTTTGGTATCACCCCATAGAAACAGGGTCCTTTTGCAGCAACATGTCCAACTGGATTGTGAACAACTCCAAAGAGATCACGACAAAAACACATGTGTCCTGAAACTTGTTTGCCCCACATTCCTGTCTAGAGATGTGTCGCGAACCGTTGCATCAGGCATGTATTTTTGTTTTCGCTTTCCATTTGTTGACACCATGCAATGCAGGAAAGAACTCAGGGCAGTTCATTGCTTGTCGGGTGTTTGGTGTTGTTGTTCTTTGATGTTCTTTGCGACTTTGCGGCAGGGCTTGCGGGATTCAGTGATACTGCCCCTGGAACAAGATCTTCCACATGGAAGCAGACATGCCTGAAGCCCTTTCTGGAATTAACTTAACACGACACCTTCTCATTTTGTACGGTTGTTTGTTTGAATTTTAGGAATACGGGGATCACGGGGAGACACTACAAACTGCTTTGGGCCTAGCGCCTGTGCTGAGATCTGACCTCAAGATTTCATAAGATTTCAGGATTGCCTACCTCATTGTTCACCCGACCTTAATTTAAAACAATGATAGGGGTTCCACTAAAAAAGCAATTCCCTTGTGCACAGCATGGTTTAGTGAAATATGCTACATTCCGGGTTCTTCAAAGTGACCTGTTGATATCCCAATTTGATGTCACTTAGGGACTCCAAAAAGGTCACTTTGAAGAAGCTGGTGCACTGTATAGTCATTTGCTGTACTCGACAGTCTTTGGCCTGGTCTTGGAATGTGTTCAACCAGGACCAGCAGGGCCCCCATGATCACAATGAACGGAGCACGTCAGAATCTACAGACTGTAGAAACAAAACATATTGAAACCACTTGAAACCACTGATTTGCTGACAGTCTGACAGCTACATCCAGGATTCCAACGGAGTTTCTGCTCAGAATTCACGACTTGCTTGGCGATTGGCCTCACCGATCCCCACATGCCAACGTCCTTGGCACGATGGGCTTGGCCACACTCCGTGGTCACCTCACCTCCGATTTCGTTTGGTCATGTTGAAGCAGCCATGCTGCAGCAGCTTGGTGCTGCCATGGGCACTGAGCATTGCGTTTGCTGAGGCCACTTTTATTCGGGTCTGCTTGGGCACCCAGACGGGACGGCCCTTATGGATAGATCGATGCATGGGACGGCCCACCGAGCTGGACGCACACATGTGTTTGTTTGGAGAGGCGCAGGCGACTGAGCCAACGGGCTCAGTCATTGAAGTTGGTCTCCAGTTGCACCAAACACATGTGTTTGTTTGTGTTATTACTTTATTTGCATTTGATCAGCTACCTTGGATGAGCTGGGGGACTTGTTGCATGTGGTTTTGTTCTGTTTGGAGATGGATGCCCCACGACAAGTGGGCCATAGATGGCCGGCCAAGGTCCTGCCAGGAAAGCAAGATCCTGTGTTGGCTGTGGGTGACCAGGTGATTCAGTTACTACCAGAGAGACATTTTCCCTGAACGTGACCTTGTTTCAAACACATCTTGGATCTTCCACCAGCAGTTTGAGGATGCGGTATGCCTCACGCACCCGGGTGCGGTTCATGGTTCTGCATGCCGCTGCCGCGCGGTGAACGAAGCAATTGGCATCAGCTGTTCCGGAAACACCAAAAGGGACGATGGGCATCCACTTGCTCCACAGTTCCATCCAGTTCCGGTGTTCCACAAACAGCTGAGGTATGAGCGCTATAGACGAGAAGCAGCGCAACAGTGCCTGCCCCCAGAGAGCAGGTGAGAGGCGAACCCAGCCAGGAAGTAGGTCCTAAGGACGACGGCGGTGAACGTCCTCAGTTCCACAAGGGTGTGAACTGTACTTGTCCAAGACATTGCTACGTTTGAAGGAAGAACCATGCACTTGCACCACCTGAGATTTTAGTTTTTTTCGACCGTTTGTTTGGTACGCAGGTCGTGTAGGAAGCTGAGCTGCACCTCTTTGGCCACATAGAGATGATGAAGAGGGGCGTGTGTGTTTGATACAGCCCTTGGGGGCTAGACCCATATGATATTACACAATCACTTGCAACGGATTCCCGCGGTGCCGCCCGGTGTCAATCCGTCAGTATGTTCTCCAAACCAGCAGACTGCCAGCAGTAGGACCCTCGCAGTCTCAATACCTCTGGCAAACTTTTGGTGTCTTGATGTTTTGCAACCGGCCACTGGCCACTGTTTGGATTGGAAAGCTTCCTAGTTGCCCAGATGCCAGACGAAATGTCACAAAGTGTCCAGTTCCCAAGGCACTATACAATGCAAGCCTTCGGCGCTGCTGGCGCCAGTGGCTACGGCTTCGGTAGTGGCGCATACGGCTCTGCTGGCGCCTATGGCGCTGGTGGTGCCTACGGCGCCGCTGGGGCCTATGGCGCTGGTGGCGCATATGGCGCGGGTAGTGGTTGCGGTGCTGGTGGTGACTATGGCGGAGACTACGGCGCCGGCTACGGCGCAGGCTTCGGCGCTGGAGGCCCTCTAGGAGGAGCTGCGCAGCCGGGTTGAGAATAGGTCTGTGAAAGAGTTGGGTTTGAATGTCCGTCTCAATTGTGCGCACTAGTTTGTGCTTGGGGTCGATCTCAAATTCGGTAAATCATGTCTTAAATCCAAGGTCCAGGTGAGTCTTGTGCGAGATTGCGATGCATGGTTCGAAAACTTATTCTTTGGTTGGAGTCGGAGTCCGTGACATCTCCAGTGAATCTCCAGTGACAGCTCGATCTGTAAGGTGATGATTGGCGATTTATATCTAATACAATTATTATATGTTTTTACATGTTTTTGGTGCATGGAGTGTGACAGTCTGGCCGCCATGGCCCATTGATTCAGACCAGGACACACGTTGAAGTGGATTGTAGCATGAGTGAGTCGTTGGCATGATGTTCCACTCGGGCGCAAGCATTCGGAACACGTCGGCCCTGCGTCCCGTGTTCACCACTTTTCTGTAGAAGGCTGGTGAGGAGAAGCAGGAGCTCCTGGCCATTGCTTCGTGTGCAAATCATAAACATATACTTGATGAAGTCTGTAGCGGAAGCTGTCCACAATGCATAGAAGTCATATGGCTACTGCATACATACACTTCCCAGGATTCACTTACAGCCACCAACATATTCCCGCAGCAACCAATGGTCTTTCATCTTTATGCGTAACCTGGTGGTATGCCACCCAATTGGTCTTGCTGTCCGATCAGTTCGGCTTTCTCCCACCACCGGATCCAACCACGAGTCGGATCAAACCGTACCGGGTTTTTGTCGGGTCAAGGAATGAAGAGAAGCAATAGGCCGTTGGCTGCGCCGTGACTGTCCCGGGTCTTCAAAAGAAGACCTGCAGTGACCTGCAGTGATTTCACCCGTTTTCGCAGCTAGGAGCAGGCTCAGAGGGAGAGGCTTGGGTCCTGAGAGCGGTCATTTGGATGGAGCGGGGTGTGCTATTATGAAGTGGAGATTTCAACTTACAACTCCTGGACTCCTTGATGCTTATTGTAGAGAATCTGAATGAGGAAATGCACGGGAGGGAATGTGCCCCGCAGGCTGGATGCATTGGAGCCGTCTAAGTAATGAACATTCCATGACTGCGCCCATGCGAGTTCTTGACGCTGATGGATTTGAAAGGAGTGCTTGGTTCCAGATCTAAACAATCAATGATTTTTGTTGACAAACCAATTGTCAATAGTGTTCCCATGCTTGAGGGGTTCGGTTCGCGGCCTGTGGCACCCGTTTGAGACTCGATCTAGAGCTCCTGAATCGTGGAGGTGACTTCGCTGGCTTTCCTAAAAGCTCCTTGGTTCGCCGGCTTCTTCGGGTCATGGCATAGCTAGCGGACAGGGTGAATTCTGTCGTCCAAACCGGAAGGGGACGACTGGTCGAATTCCGGAATGAATGCTGAATACCTGAAAGGCATTGACAGGCATCCAAAGCACCTAAGACTGAGCAGACTTACTTCCAAATCTCTATACATCTCCCAATCGTTGGAGTGACAATGGTGGGCCTGACCGATGCCCCAAGGACATCGATTGTCGCTTGTATATTAAGGAACCCCAACAAAGACCGATGCGTTCGTTTTCTTTTTTTTCTGAGTGGATCGCCCGAATCGGCGCGAAGACATACGACGACGCTCACCACCGGTAGGGCCGCACCAGCGACGGCCGGCAAATCGTCAGCGAAATCTACATCCCTTTAGAGGCACTGCACGGGCGGAACCCTGATCCGAGAAACATCACGCCAAAGGAACGTGTGTGCAGTCCGAACATGTTGTTGTGAACCAAGCATGGAGGCATTTGTTGTTTTGTTCTATCTATTTGGGAACCAAATAGATGTTGTGCTGTCTTCCATGTTGAAGCAGCCTAGCCAGGCCATAGGGATTGGACGGGTCCAACCTATACCTATACTTGCTTGTCATCGGCCTAAAGGCCTTGCAATGATCAGGCCTTCATTGATCTCCAAAACCAGGAATCATAAGCCATTGTTTTATAGTTTAATGCCTTATGCTTGAACTTTAACGCCAATCTATTCTTTGTTTGCGCAACTCGTCCAAGATCCTTAGGTGATACGGTGATACCCCCCCAAACCACGTTATAGAACCCCAAACCACCATCGGCTTGCAATGGGAAACCCATATCAGTCGTCCAAGAGGTCTGTGTGCAGTTCTTCCAGAATTGGAGTAACAGCTTTAACCTATATGTCATATTTGATCTATGATGATCTATGTATAAATGTCAATGTCAGCTTAGCCGGGAATGTCCTGTGTTATATCGTTTTTTTTCCTGCTAGTTGTTGATGTATGAGTTTCCTTTGGAGATCAGCAGATGGGTGGCCTGCCCACGTTGCCACTATATGGCATTGTATTACCACGCAAACCTGCTGTTAAAAGAAAAAGCCATCTACAACGCTTCCTGGGCCCTGCGCCTTTTTGTGAGCCACACCCATGTGTTGTCTTTCAAGTGCCACGAAAAGACTAATTGTTTTGGTCGTTTTGGGGATATTCGGATATTGGGGGCCTAGATATTACAGAACCTCGCATCCAAATGCATGTGTGTCGAGAGACGGATGTTTTTTTTGGGGTTCGCAAGTTAACTCACGTGGACATGTGAGTTGATGTGAGTTTATCCTGTTCTTTTCGCTGTCCCGACCATTGTATTTGATGCAGTCAGAAGTCAGAAGTTTCTCATGTGGGCCGATGTTTCTCGTTCCGAACTCGATCCTCACACCATCATAAAGCCTTGAGTTTCACCCTGGGTAAAGGAGGAGAACATGACACACCCTGCTGCTGCAGGGCCCCGCCATGCAGAAGAACCCACAGACTGGTGAATGGGAGCCGCAATGAAGGACAGACCACCGGCTGATGCCGACGTGGACGTAGGGCTTTGGCTTGGATGGGGACCGCAGCCAGGGGAGGAAGAATCGAGGCAGCCATGAGGTGGTCTCCCTGGTATAGGCAAAGCTTGGAGCCAGCAAAACACATCTGGCTGTTTTTCTTGCTGGTAGCACAGCAGCCCCGGAATCGAAAAAGGGCTGCCATGTCGAGGGATCCACCTGTCTCGCTTCAGTCTCAGCGCCCAGGAGCCCCACCGAGTGCGTTTTCACCCGGCCGATGCGCCCGTCGACCGGATTGCTTGGAAGAAGAAACAGCGACCGGGCAACTGTGCAGCGGGGCATCTGGGGGTATAAAATTGATTATATTTTTTGGATGCCCAGGTTCTGCTGGATTGTTCAGTATTTCTGCTTTGTAACCCTTCCATAGGTAGTGGCAACAACCAGTTGCCTCTATAGCTGCGGATATCCTGAAATGATTTCAACGACGACAATTCTTCAGGTGGTTTGAGACCCAACCAAGCAGAAAGTCCCGGGGCACCCCACCCCATCCATTACTGTACATGTTTTTTTTGACTGTTGCTGCTGGACCCTACGGCGTGTAGGGGGTCTTAGGAGATCCACGCAGCAATGTGATACCTGGACATATCCAACAAACATTGCAGTGAAGAACATCCGACACCCCAGAGTTGCCTGGCTGAAAGCGTCGAACGCAGCCGTGGCGAAGACGGATTTCACCGGAAGAACTGAAGCACCGGAGGATCCGTTCGCAGCATCAACTCCCTCGCGCGGATCCGCGGGTTCAAAGCTTCGCCCACCGGCGACCCTGAAAAGAGTGGCGCTTCTGACGGGCCGAACGCCCGGGATCTCAGTGTGGCTGACGAATCCGGACAAGACGTAGGATTGCTGAGCAAAACTGTTGGGACAAGACGTGCGAATGCTGATATTTTTTTTCACTGGTAGGTTCCCTCCAGAAGCGAATTAAGAGATCCAAGCATGTACGATTCAGGACGTGTGTTGGAAGGATATGAGACCTATCAAGGCTTCCACGTGATAAAAAGAATGGCTTTATGGATGATCTCAAACTGTTTCATGTCAAGTCTCTGACTGCAGCACTTTGAGACACCTGAAAGTGGACGTGCTGGATGACTGGATGACTGGGGATCTGGAAGGTTGGGGAAGCCTCAAAATGAGGAACAGTTGAACATACACGCCGCAAGACTAATTATTCATATCCCAAGTGGTGGTGGGGGTGGTGGTGGGTGCAACCAATTAGAGACCATTTGATGGTTTCTCTATCTAAGAAAATCGAAAACTGAAATCAGTACAAGATCTCCCGCCTTTCTGCCAATCAGTGGAGCCCACCGAGAAATTTGGCACAGCCAACCGCCACTGCACGAGTTTCCCCTGTGAGATTCTTCAGCACCAAGGTGTTGCTAAGATTTGCCAACCCGGAGCACAAAGCTGTGAACTCTTCGGGAGACCGAGCCACCCGAAAGAACCTGGAGGAAGTGTTCTTTGTTTAGGTTCTATGACACTTGGGCCTGTAATATGAATCAAAGTGCCTCACGACTGCTTGCTTTCTTCTCGTCGTTTGAGGTTTGAATGTTATCAACTTTACATGACAAGGCTGCCATGGATATCCAATCGCATCAACTGGCTATTTACGATTTCAATTTGCCATAGGCCATAGGTATATAAGAATCGAGGAAACAGCTGTAGAAACCACTGGTCTTGCAGACTGAGCCTGTCAGGCATCATGCGCCTACACGCCCTGGGCGTGTTTGCTTGTCTTTGGGTGTACACGGACTGGGATGTGAGACGTGGTGCTGGTCGGTGTATCTACCGTGTATATACCGATTCTACGGATTATATACCGTATACTCAGCGGTTTTGTTTCCCTGTAGACCTGTAGGGGCCATGGGACAGTCAGACGGAGAGGATTTTCGGAAAAGACCAAGACCCAGACAGGGCAAGCTCTTCTCGGCAGCCCCTGACCTGAAGTTGGATGGGGGATTGGGAGGTGAAATCGACGGCCTCTTTACAGATGGGTATCCAGGGAGAGTAGAGACCTTGAAGACTTTGAGATGGAGTCTTCCAAGTCATGACCGTGGCTCTTCCAAGTGAGCTCTTTGTCAGTCTATAGTCACCTTTTGCCCGCCTGGCCCGCCGACAGAAGCCCCGCGCGTGTCGAACAGCACCGCTGACGCCGGTGCGACAGGACGCCTATGTGCCGCCCTCTTGGTCCAGGGCTGGCTTGGATGCGGTGCAGGCGGGCGACAGCGAGACAAGAGGGAGACGAATAGTTAGAATGGCTGTGGGCATTCATGGGCATCGGCATTCACCAGAGATCTAAGAGATGTGGTGAATGCCCGTGAATGCCCACAGCCATTCTTTTCGTCTCATTTTCAGTACATCTCCCTTCCTCCGTAACCTGTACCGACTCATGCACGCTTCTTGTATTATATATATACAAATAATGTTGAGTATTTCTTTGTTTGTTTGGCCTTTTATCGAACTACTGCCCACACCAAGAGTTCCAGACGGAATCATGGTGCAGATGCTGCAGATGCTGCATGATGTCCGTGCTCAATGGATTCATCATGATTAATTATGCTTTATGTGTTTTCCTATGTAGTGCTGGTTCTGTGTTGGTTTCAGGAGAGTGGTTTCAACCGTGAGTCCTTCCGATTCGCCATCTCGACCGAGGACTCAAGAGCAGCCCAGGCGAAGTGGGCACACTGCGTTGGAAGACACTTCGCGGTCCCTTTGCTAGGATCATCCATTCGCAGCCTTGCATAGCTTTGCGATGAAAACGTCACGCAGCCCCATGTCATTCTTTAGGAGGAATGGACGGATCACCCAAACGAGATGCGAGTCCCTTCGAAATACTTGGAGTTTGCTGATTGTTCCCCAATGAACCAGCATGGACCCTGACTTCAAGAAACACATCCTTCATATTCCTCTATATTTGTGCAAAAGGCATGCAAGCTAGCAGCAAGCATGAGATGTTTGTTGCTGTAAATGGCACTCTCTTCAACATCTTCAACAAAACACGTCACGACCGTCACGACTCACGACTTGTTGGTGTTGTTCCAAGGGTGGACCGGCTGGATATCTTAATCATGCAATAGCTTTACAATCCAAATGCGGGGTCCTGCTGTAATATACAGCAAGAGACGGAGTAGAAGCGGCCCAGGACCGCAAGTGAGCGCATCCAAATGGGGGGTCATTCATCAAGAATCTACATCATTAACAGGACTGTGGAAACCGATGAAGCCAGGAGGCTCCGGACTCGGCGTCGCCTGGAAGCCTTGTGCAAGCAGCCCTGGGCGCCAGCTTCGGCCGCTTGAAAGGGTGCAAGGGTCGGAGTGGACGAGAAGATGCTAAAACTGAACCATGCCTGCAGGGGTTACCACTGAATTCACTTAAGAACTACCATTTGTGCTTCAAAAGACACAACAAAGAAAGCACGAGCCTTCAAGTCTTAGAGTATCGTATTTTCTAACATGGGGTGGACCTGGGCAAAACCAGGGACCATGACTGTAAGGAAAAGCATACTGGTTTTGTCTAGAAAACACGTTGTTCCACATCTAAACTCCGAATACCTAGATGAAGGTTTACCTTCTGTCCAACAAAAGAAAACAAGACAAGCTCAACACTGAATGTGATTCGGGTGTGCAAGCTGAATCAAGTTATGTCAAGTTCAATTCAAGGCTGGTTGGGGGGTGCTGATTTCAACCATGCATGGAGTCCATACGTTTCCTTGGTGAACAAAGAGCGACCCTTCGACGAGGTCACCACAGTACGGTTTCAACATGGAGGCACGTTTACCATCGTTTACCTTTCACAGGGCAAGTCAAAAGAACAAGAATTGTCCTGCTTGAGTTGCCTCTCATTTCTTTTCTGCACAGTGGCGGCGGCTCAAAACCGCCCTAGCACCCTGATAGTGGAGTTCAAACCATATGAAGTGCCCCCAATTGTTCTAATTTCTTCAAGCAAACTTGTAGTCACGCCTGAGGCACATCAACGATCTTGTTGGAAGGCATTTTGTTGGCGCTCTCTACGCCCAAAAGCCCGACAAGGGTCTCCCCTGTCAAGCTGAAAAACAGATGTTCCTTCAGCATTCCTTTCTAGTTAGTTAACACCCCAAAACGGGTCCATCACACCAGTTCATCATGTTTGACTATGCCTGCTGGCCGGCCGGATGCATCTCAACTTCTCATGATCTCCCAACATGTAGAACATCCTGAGGTGCTGGCTGTTTGATGGGATACCTCAGCTTGATGCTCGGGTTCGCGCGTTCACGATGTCCGGATGTCGTTCACGCGCTTTCTCACTCAGCGGGTTTGGGCTGTGGCATGCTGTGGCTGATGTCCGGTGTTGGTGCCGTCTCCACTAGCTGTCGTGGTAGGACTGGAGAACATTAGTGTTCTAGGATTGGCTGATTGGCGGTGCAGACTCCAGATCACATGGATTTACTTTTCGGTAGAATCTCTTCCAGTCCCATCTGAGCAGACCAACCCTAGACTAGCTGCATCCATCGGACACCCCAAGTGGATGGCCATCCATCAGGTTCAATGCGATCGACCAGCTCAGGCAGACGGCGGCTGCTCGCGACCAGTGGCTTGTTGGCCTCACTGCCATCACAGGCGCGCTCGATGCCCTTGTGACGTCAGTAGCTTCTTGCTACTTGCTACTAATGCCCTTGTTCCTGGTAGCGATGCACCGTGTTACTGGAAATTCGATACCCTTCCTTTGGACTCTGCGGTCGCTCGATCCCCAGGTCTCCTGCGGCGACCCGCAAGAGTTGAAAAACCCTGGTGGAGGTATGTATCCTAGGAATCCACATACCTTCCCAGGAAGTACGTGGCCCTCCTGGCGCCTACATAAATACTCCCCAATCACCTCAGAACGTATGTGGCTTCATCGGGTATGGGTGACCTGTAGAGTCAGCTCCTGAATTGAGCCATCCTTGGATGAAATGGAGGAAATGGTGTGTGTTGAGCGGTTCATGTTCAGGTTCCATGTCGCTTTGTTTGTGTGGGGCATCTAGCTAAACAACAAGAGCCTGACTTTGATTTCTTACATTTCAGGGGTGTGCAAGGGGCGGACAGAATGAGTTTCTGTCATCACTCGACATTCCCCAGAGCATCCATGTCTGAAATGGCTACATGAACATTTACTCCATGATGTTGCATGATGTTCCAATGACTTTATAGTACTTTATACAATGTAAGTAACTATCCCGGATATCCCATATGACCCATACTACATGCGCTACATGGATGCTTTGGGTTCTTTCATGTGCTCACGGTGTAGATCACCTGGTCACAGAGAGAGACCATGAGATCGACTTCAAGTCCAAAATCGTGTAAGGCAGTATTGTATCCACCACGTGGGGTGGTTGACAGAGATTGATTTCAAGCTTTTTGGCCCAATCGTCTTGGTGAACTGAAGTCAACATGCAGGGATCGACATACCTTTGGATTTGACTCAAGAGCCAGAAACTGCAGCCTCCAAGGGTCAATGCATCTCCTGCACCCTTTGCGGAGCAGGTCGCTAGAAGCATTTGGCCATGAAGATGTGCTTGAAGACAGAATATCAAACGCATTCAGAAACCGAAGAAAACAAAGAACCCCAAAAAAAACCTTTAAATGCAACATGCGGTTCTCCCATGTGTTTCTTCTTGAGTCCCGAGTTGTCAATGCCAGAGCAGTCTTCGGTTTCCGCAGGCGGCGCGCGCCATTGGCCGCTCGGAGGAGCGGACGGAGCTGCGCCCGGCGCGGAAGCCGAGCACCGGGAAGCGTCGGTGCAAACCATGTGCCGTGCTGCTTGTGTCTTGAGGGGAGGAAATAACAAAATCAATGATCAGATGTGAATCACATGTTGTTGATGCTTTATATATGAGCATGTGTCCTCCGAAATCGGGGCCCTCCCATCTACTTCCAGCATTTGCCAAGTAGTATATGCTTGTGAATTATGCTGCACATATATGCGTATCCACATTTGTCGTTCAAGGTGTTATTCAACTTGCTGGGGTGCAGGGCTGGAGGGGACATTTGGTTGGTATGGCTGCACTGCTTTACTTTCTCCAAAGTATGACGGCTCCCGGTGCTTTTGTTGCGTTGTGTTCCTCACTTCTCCGGCATTTTCCGGAGCTGGTTCTCATGATTGTCAGCTATGGAAGAGCAGGTATCTCTTTGCGCATGTGAGCTTTCAACAATTTGCAGCATACAGCATACTGTACGTAAAAAACTTATATATAATAGATGTACAGCGCAAAACATGACAGGACACACCCCTCTCAAGATCCTGGAAAAAAGGCAACATGATTAACAAAAGAATGAGGGACTGTGAAGGACCAGACGAAAGCCATTCGAAGGCCAACCGATTTGTATGTTCAGGTACAGATACAACATCCCAATTTATCCATAATGACATGCCTTTTGTCAATTAAAATTCAAGTACAACATTACTGTGTTCGTCTATAGGTTCCCGACAGAGAACGGTCAATATGGGTTTACCTGCACAGAAAGAACGCTATGCCTCTTCTTGCCTGAAGCTAGCCCAACAGTTATTGAAGGCAATTACTCAAGGCAGCAGCTTTTCTGGCAAAACCTGCGACTGCCATCGGATATGATCGAACCCATGAAACCAAGAAGGACAAAATCACTAAATAAGAACGATATATACATGATGTCGCCCTGGTTGGGATGGTCAGGGTTGCAGACTTCAGTCACGGTCAGGCGTTAAACTTCCAAGTAACACAAGGGCGCTATGGTGGTTCTCCAACTGTTTGTTTTGAATCCACTCCAGACACTCCATGTATGGATTATGTTTGCTCATACTGTACTTTGGCCTGATTTCAGGGGTGAGAGTGGGAAAGTATTCCAGACCCATGGAGTGTTATGTCATTGAAGCTATCTAAAGTACATTTACGGCATGGCATGGTGAGGTGGACATCAACAACGCCAGCGTCATCGAGTACCAGCAGCGATTCGGCGGAGTGAGAAGGATTTTGGTGGAACACAAGTGGTTGAGTGTTGGTATGGTATGATATGGCAAGTGTTGGTGCGGTAATCTGAGTCTACTAAAGAGCGTCGTGTGGCTTGAAGTATCAAGTTTCTTGGTATGGTAGGTATGACATAGCACGGCAATGCATGGCAAGTAGCTACATCGGTACAAGAACCGGATGTTCAAACATTGTCATTTAGGGGGGGCTTGTTCATCGAGGGTCATATATATGCAACCATGTGGCCATCCTCTTGGGACTTCTTCAGTATAATTACCTCACTTAACGAACGATCTTAACACTTAAAGGGGAACACAGCTATGCATGACAGCGGTGGATAGATCTGGATTGATCTCCGCACGCTCATGCGGCCACCAACTTGAGCGTGGCGCAAACCTCTGTGAGGTTCAAGGGGCTGTACCCCTCAGGGGCTGCGATCATCAGCGGCAATGGCCCGTATAGCAAGGCGTTGGCATCCGGTGTTGCTGGGGTTGGCGGAGTCAGAGATGAAGAATGCTCACCACGCGGGCGGAGGATACCCAACTGCGCCGCTAGGCGGTAGGATAACTGCAAACTTATGCAAACTTCAAGTACGCATTGCGTTCTTGTTTCCATGCACTGTCAAATAGTATGCATGTGCTTTGCCGGGCTTGGCGATGTTTTGCTGGCAGGTCGAAGATGTCTACAATCTTCGGGGGATCAAGGACAATGACATCATGAAGGCATCCCGGATCCCAAGTATTTGCAAAACTATGGAGTTGGGACTAACAAACGCAAGTTATAGAATCCAAACAACGCAAGGCTGCCACTACGAGACAAACCTCGTGACATGGGAAAACATGAATCGATTCCAAGGCTAAATGTTCAGTCATTTGGACCACTGGTGTGCACCATCAAGAGATAGTTAGGTTCCAAGGCGGATGGAAAAGACCACCGTTCGCAGCCGAAAGAGGCGACAAGGCGTTTCCTGGCAGCCACCGTGTGTCGACATGTGTGGCAGACCACTGCTTTCGTTGGATGCTTCTGTTGAATCCTGGCAGGGGGCCAACAAACGGATGTTTTACCTTTAAAGAGATCTGAAACATGTTTTAACAGATCTAAGGAGGCCCAACAAAGGCCCGCGGATCCACCCCAACAGCGCCGCGACCCACCAGCCGTGCACCGGTTCCTGGGCGGTTCGGTTCGGGAATCGACGGTCTCAGGAGGATCGACGGTCGAGTCTCATCCCTGATCCGCACTATACGGACCTGGGAAGATATGAGCAACGAGTGTTGGGGGGGATGTACTCTACTGGCCAAGCTGAGTTAGATGGGACTTCTGGACTTGACTGACCCATTGGAAGACTTGTTGTTTGCTGATCTGCCTTGAGGCGATCATCAAAAAATACGAGCCCTACTTGGAGTGCAACGCCTACACCCCGCCCGGGCTTCCCAACGGCGCTGTTCGGAGACGACGTCGCGCTGTTCGGAGACGCTGAACATGCGTGGATGAAGACGGACTCCCGAAGTCTGTCCGAGCCAATCAGACGCGCTTTCAGCAACAGACGCGAGGGACCTATCCAAGGAACCCACTTTGACTTCGTCTATCGTGGGGTCATGCTCCTTGCGTTGTGCGTGCACCCTGACAGTTCAGTCGTTGGTGTGCAAAGCTTAGCTTGCCCGGTGGAGTCTATCTACACAATCCAACCTTAAATGACATGTACAGTACAATTTAGTTGTTGTTCTTGAATTGTTGTGGTTGTTGTTGTTGTTCAAAAATCATTCATTAATTATATAAATAAGTAAGTCAAATGTTGGCCAAACATCCTAAAGCTGGTGACCTGCCTTTAGTTTTTCGACAAACAATAGCAGATTGATGAAAAAAACCTACGTGTTTGTTGTTTGAGCATCTCAAATGTTGCATCACAGCATATCACGCAATTGCCATCCCCTCCAATCCTGCTTATTCTTCTTTAAAGGGCTCATCGCAGATGTCTTTATGTTCCTTCTTGTCGCCAAGGAAGAAGGCAACCCGAATGCTGTATAAAGAGCTCCTGGGCGAAGAGTGATGGGTTTCTGCAAGTGTCGTTGGTGTGATATATGCTTGGTGACCTGGTGGTGTGGTGCACTCTTGGTCAAGTGCTGTTTCAAATTTGATCAGTTTGTTCTTTGGAACAGTGTTGCACGCATGCAGCGGCTTATGAGGACGCCGGTTAGGCTTAAAACCAAGGTGGCAGCATGCCACTGTTTCGGGCCTTGTCATCCTTTTGCTTTGACACACATTTGCTGCTATCAAGGAGGCGTCACACTGGCCTGATAACAAACATTTCCTTTTGTTGACAGGCTATACTTTGACCGATTGACAAGTTTGACAGGGTCTATGAGTTTTTAATTGGTCCAAGTCAATGGGGCGAATTAGTATATATATATATGTATATTTACTAGTTTATACTTGTTATATTTATGCCCAACTGCCCTGCCAAGTTCATACTTGTTATTGGGGCCATTAATATGGGCAATCTACTGTGCTTGTCACCCCAAATGTATGTGTTCCTTGACCGGGGTCCCCGGTCCGCGATCGCCCAGCCGGCCGTGAACGACGCGATGGATGAGATGCTGGGACTGGGTAAATCGTTGTAAATCCATTTGCCTTTCGGTTTCCTCGGTCAAAAAACAAGTATTTACAACCCATGTGAGGGGAATCTACATAGAGTTTACTGCAATTTAGAAGGTCAGTCTAATTACATCTAATTACCATAACGATCCATAACGTCCTGGACTTGCGGGCAGCGGTGTGCTCACGTTGTTCATTGTGTTGATTTCTTGAAACGTAGGTCTTCGGGGCCAGTCAGTCTTTCGAGGTCACTCATCAAGACACAGGTCACTTGTGCACTTGTTGCATCCTAGGACCAACTGAAGAGCTTCATCGATTGGAACAACAGCGATCACCAGGAGCTTCTTCTCCGCCAAGCGTGCGGAAGCAGCGGAAAAGAAAGGTCAAGCGGAAGCAGGCCGACCTACTCCACGCCTCTCTGTGTGGGTACGTAACCCCGATTGAAGTCCTCTTCAATGGGTTTGAATGCGAGCATAATATGTCCTGTTGTTTCAGCTGCGAAAAGCCTTCAAATGCTAACTAGCACAAGCTGAGGAGCCGCTGTGCCTATGCAATCCGCTCTAGAATGTCAATAAAGATAAAATATATGCTTCCAATCGGCGGCCCGACATGACTCTGCACATGTGTAACCAGGTGCTTACAGGTACTTGGTGATTCATGTGATGTATATTGATGTGTGGTTTTGGATCTTCATGATCTCGAGACACATGCGATCACATGCAGTATCACTCACAAGTCATGTCATAAGTCATGTGATTTGTCTGAGTCCATTGAGCCAATGGGTCTATATATATTGTTCATCACAGCAGGAATCTGTTGCTGCAAAACGAGGCCCGGAACAACCAGCATCCGCCCAGGGCGCCGTGCAGTGCCATTGCCATTACCTGTCCGTATAGAACCCACACCACACACTGCACTATCTAGATCGCAGAGCATCACGTCCCGACCACCACGCCACCATGGTTCGCCTTTTGCACGCACGGCGTGCGGTGCTGGCGACCGTGGAGGTGAACGATGGCCAGCTACGATGCTCGGAATGCGATGGGTGGGGCGTGCTGGGAGTTTTTGTTGGCTTGGTGCTTGGCTGTTGGCTGTCTTAGTTGAATGTAGTGGGGCCAGGCGAAAGACTTCAAGCCACAGTACTTGACTCGTTGGTGAGTATCGTGCTGAATTTGCGTGTCTCAGAAATCACATAGCCCATCATAGCCACAAGTCCCCCACTGGCCCCACAGACCCAAGTTCTTAGGGAAGTTCGGACGACTGCTGCCGTCGCTCGATGTGGCGCACAGCAATGCTCAGGAGTCACCTCTGTGGGACCTTTGCGTCCGGGTGCCCGAGATCGTTGCATCAAGCACGCAGGCACGCCCGGAGCCTCCAGTCTATCGTGAAATATCGTGAATCAATGCTTTTGGGAGGTGCCAGTTAAAGAGGTTTCCAGGGCGGTCGATGAGTCCGGTGGATGGGTCCCTGGAGGGTGCCTCTCTTCGATTCCCTTCTGATGTTTTTTTTTTTTTTTTTTCGCATGTTTTATTTGTTGTTTAACCACGACACGCTCATCAAAGCAGCCAAATCCATTTGGGTGCACATGCGTGTGGCATGGTGGATAGCCATGCTTCGGGTTGAGGTCGTTTTGACCAGGTGACATCGAGCAAATTCTTTGTGTGAAGTACCGGGTGAGATGACCCACCAAAGATCACTATATTTTGACCTGTCTTTATGCTTCGAGTGCTTTCTGGGTTGTGGGTTTAGGGTTAGTACTGATATCTCCTAATCCCCGAACCTTGAGGATTTTAGAGAAGAGAAGAGAAGAGAAGGACTATGTTTGTGCACGGCGGCGGCCGGATGCTGCAGCCACGCGGTGGTACTTATGCAATTGCTGGAGCGGGCGCATTGTCAAGGAAAAGCTTCAGCGTTTGACCATCCAAGTCTATGCCCCACTAGGAGTCCCAGAAAGCACCTTCAAGCACGACGCATTCTGCATCACCGTCAACACCCCCGCCGCGCACCCAACCATTGGATGCACCTTGCTGCCGCCGCCTTCGTCCCGCGGTCATGTCCGGTCGAGCTCTCCATGGACGTCGACAGCATCCAAGTTACAGCCACTGGGAACACGTGGCTGTTGAAGCAGATCCTGGATGACTTGGACTGTGATGTGTCCCAAATCCCAGAGGGGTGGTTCCGTCAACAGGGGTTCCAGAAGGACGGCTTCTCTACCATCGCCAAGCCATTGGTCGATTGAGTGCAGCCGACAAAAAGAATAGAACCTCCTACGCGCTCTTTGTCGCATATAATGGAGTCCCGGTCTCAACTAGAGCACCGCTTCTCTTAGATTCTCATGGCTTACGGCACACAGACAGAACTGCTGCAACCACCCTATGGTACAGCGCAATTTTGCTGCCTCGACCTTCCAGCCTGCCGCTGCCTCAGTCGCCGACGCATTGCACTATGGATCCCTGATCTTCTAAACCTGCACTGCCTCCAGACACATACTGCTTCCTGCTGCTCTACGTGGCTCAAGCGCCATCCTACTGCACATTTGGGCAGGAGATGCAGAGCGACGAGGGGGTGAAATGAAGCCAGGGCTGAGGGGTGGAGGTAAAATAGCAAAAAAGATGTGCCACACTGAGTGGTAGAAACTTTCTTAACACTTGAGCCTTCGGACCTTTAAAACCCATAAACACACAGAAAAGCGTTTGTACACTGCAAGAGCTTTTACACACAGAAGAGCTTTTACACGCAGAAGCATTTACACGGAAGACTTTGGGGTTCAAGTCCACGCCCGACAGGGCCACTGACCTAAAGAGGCTTTGCTTTCTGCAGCAAGGCTGTCTTGCGGGCTAAGTTGGGCTGTCTTGTGGCTATGTTAGGCTGTTTTGGGGCTATGTTAGGCTGTTTGGGGGCTGTGTTGGGCTGTCTTGGTGCTATGTTGGGCTGTCTTGGATGCTATGTTGGGCTGCCTTGGGGCTCTAGGGTTTGGAACGGGTTGGACAGGGAAAGTCGGCCTGAAGATAGATGTTGACTTCTTTGTTTACATAGGATGAAGAGAAAAACTTTAGGCCAATGTGAACTATATGTTTACATATGTTTACGCTTGCTTCCTCGGGGACCCGGGGATTATATAGAGACAGATTAGATGTAGTCGCGTCACCCGCCTCTAGCTCCAGACTCGAACAACGTACCAAACAATTTGCTTTACCTTGGTTTAGAATATGTGTGTGTGTGTGTGTGTCAACGCCTGTTTCCAAGGATTTCACACCCATCTCACGACCCTTTCAACTAGACAACTTCATGATACATCTTCACTCGGTTTTACTTCAACGCATCAGGGGAGCGGTGGGCATTCTTGAAGTCACCGCTCAACGAAGACACTTCAAGTTTGCTGTGATATGCAATCTGGACGCAGATTGCACGTACCTGCGAGGAGTTGACTGTTTGAACTGTTGAATAAGCTGTCCACTACAGTGTTTTGCAGTAAGCGGATAATGCATTTCCAAACTGTGTTCAACACCTACAAGTTCACTGACTTTACCACCTTGCTGCGGTTTGCGCTTCCTTCGGTTCTTCAAGTCAAGGGGAACTTCGTACTGATACTAGCTCTTGCGAGCAACAATCTAAGTGTGTGTTTTTACATCCTTGTGCGGAAAGGCTCTAAAAAGTCCGTGGCGGTAAGGCGAAATAATTTAGCAGTGTTTGATTTTGAGCTTGAATTGAAGAGAACCTATTCTTTAGAAACATAAGACAAATTGTATGACGTTGTGGGATGTTGCCATAACGCCCTGCCGCTGCTTGATAGAAGTGAAGTTGACAGATTTGTTTGAACAACATTGTTTTGGCGGTCGTTTATAATAGAAACTAGCTTCAGGCAATTTAACTTTGATGTGTCTTGTGGTGAGCTTGCCAGGGCTTGAAGAAAAATTGCGAATCTGCAAAAGTAACTGTTTCTTTGCATGTAGAAAGGTCTGCCCAACCTCAAGGCCCATGATGTGCAATGTCACAGCAGGATTTTAACACAACCCCTGGACATGCCATCTACAAATAATTTCAAGGGGTTGTGAAAAAAAATTTGCTGTGCCCATTTGGTTGAGCAGATCAGACACTGACTTTGCATTTGATGCTTGCTCTCCCTAAAGCGCCACCTATTCTATAACATATTTTCTCGGACCACCTTGCATTTTCTGGAGATTTGTGCAGAGTTCCCGCATTTTAAAAGGGGATGTTTGATCCAACAGGGGTTCTCCACTCGAGAGGACCTTTCGTTCGTGCAAAGTTGTATCCAACAGGGGTTCTCCACTCGAGAGGGCTGAGGACCCTTCGTTCGTGCAAAGCAGGGCAGCTCCGAGTCATTTGTGATGCATTTTGATTCACAGCACCCAACCCCAATTTAAAGCTCCGCCGTTTGCACACCACACGTAGGAGGCCAAATCAGGGCAAAATCGGGTTGGAATTTCACATGGCCTCATTGAACATATAGGCAAAGGGTATTCGTGGTTCAGTCATCTTGGACTGTTTCCGGCTCAATGATGTTCAATATGACCCCTCCACCCAAAATTATTAGGGGTTACCCACGAATTAGTGCGTCTCAATTAATTGTTTCTTTTTTATTATACCATTTGTCGACAATTTTGGTAAACACGTATAAGTCGGATAAAAAACACAATTGGCACGTTTCCAGTGTACCTTGGATCAAGCTAGCCAACTAGATTAATCGACCCTGCTCCAGGGGCCAACCCCCCCTGAGTCTTGAGTGTGATGGCTGCTTTCCTGCTTGGTTTGCATGCGGTGGCCACTTTCCTGCCAAGCTTTTAGTGTGGTGGCTAT